AAATAAATTGTTAATGACCAGAATACACCGCGAGACGACGACGGTAGAGACGGAATCCGTGAAATGTCACGTCATGAAGGTAAGCATACTATTGTTCTGTTGTTTAGTTTACGTAAAATCTCGACTTTAAGGCTCCAAGCTCACAAGTTGCTCTCATTAAATTGAACGTGAATTAGATCATTATCATTTTTAAATTCCTMAGTGGTRTCCATTAATCTAAGCCCAATCTTAATGTTTAATACTGGTGTTGTCATGATACTGATCTATTCGCTAATGTTGTGTGCTGTTAAATCTAATTCGATTATGTATATCATAATTATCTATAGCTTTATAAGTCATAACTGGACAGTTATTACCGAATAGTTGTGGATTAGAAATGCTATTAAAATGTATTTGTACAATTAGTGTTTAGATATTATCATAGGTATGGATAGGTATGTACTTAAATAATCATTATCAAAAATATGGTAAAATTAATCTTGCTAAGCTCCTYTATCTTATAAATCTTATCGATATCTATTTTTACCTATGATTGATACATTTATTTTAGGTTTAAATTTGTCCAATATCTATCTTAATACAGTTATATATTTAAGTTATGTAATACATTTATAATTAAACTTATAATTTTAGGTAGGTACCTAATTATTTGTTATCCAAAAAGTATATTTTTTCACTATAGTCTTCCTATACAAAAAAGTCAGTACTGAATGTATCTTATAATCGATACCTAAACTACTAAAAGCAGGATACCTACCTACTAGGTAATTGAATATAAATTTGCGTAGTTACCTACATCTTTTTTGATTTTAATTTATAAATTAAAAATTGAAAATTATGAATAATGTAACTATGTATATAATTATTTTTAATTGCCAGTACATTCTTATTAATTTTACTTAAACTTAAATGGTTGTTATACCAATATTTATTTTGTCTTGTTTTGTGCTTAATATAACAACAAAAAATGGCTAATGATCTACAATACATTACCTACATAAAAAACAATGTTTCCTGTGCAATGAAAGTTTTTCAAGTTTTTTAGAGGATATGATGTTCTTGTCTGTTTTCTGTTTTATAAACTTGCAATATAACAAATTTGACATTTGTGTTCAACAGAATCAATTTTTTGTGTTGTTAATTATAATATTATCTATAGGTAGTAGATTGACCTTTTATTAAATTAAAGAGTTAGAATTTGTGGTAACTTGTTGAATTTTAAATATTTATAGTTAAAATCTGGTTATAAATATCTATTACAAAAATACTTCAGTATCTATTACAATTATACTCATCAGACATTTAAAATGTAAATAATGAATAAAAAATGTACATTCTACGGGGTGTTACTCATTTAGATTTTTTGATAAAAAAATATGTGGCTTATAAATTAAAATACAAAACACATTTTTATTAATTTCTATAATAGATACAAAAAATCAATAACTTCTGTATTTAAATAATAAACAATAGTTATGTTATCTTAAGAATTAATTTTAATGAACAATTCTTTACGAGATTTTTACCATTATTATTTAGAATGTTTTCTAATTTATATTTTTTTTTCATTTATTCTTACTCCATTAACATGCTTCACTAAAATATCTGTTGTCACTTGCATTTGTTTTTTAAAATTTAACAGATATTTACTCTATCTATATAATTTAATTATTCCATTGCATTCTGTATTATATACAGTTAGTAGTAATTCTGTTTCACAAAAAATCATGCATTGAATTATCATTTCCAAATATTTTATATAATTTTTCCAAACTAACAGTATTAAAACACTAATTCTAGGTTGCATAAATTTTGATAAATTTAATGKGTCATTAGTTCATTATTGATTGATTTAATATATAGGGGTTGTTTATACGATCCAATATTAATGATGATTTGTCCAAATGTTTAACAAAATAATGTCAAAAATTACTCAAATGATTATTATACCTAACAACAAATTAAGAAGTATAAGCGTGGAATGCAGTAAAAAATATAGATTGTATAAGTATTGCTAGACAGCTGTAATTGATAAACTGATGACATTAAACATTAATTTAAATGATCCTAGAAACCCAAGAAAAATATATTTCAAGCCTTCAAGGTATATTTTTTTGAACAAGATGATTTAAATTTTTCAAGATTATGCTTAAAATAATAATTAGGTTAATTAGGTACCTTTTATTGGTGTTAAATTGTTTGTTCATTACAGGTGTTAGCTGTGATGCTTGTATGAGAGGAAACTTTAAAGGACGTCGTTTTAAATGTTTAAAGTGTTACGACTATGATCTATGCGCTAATTGTTATGAAGCAGGTGCAACTACCCCACGTCATTCAGTTGATCACCCAATGCAGTGTATTTTAACACGTGCTGACTTTGAGCTCTACTATGGTGGTGAATCATTAACATCTGATCAGCCACAAGCATTCACATGTCCTTTTTGTGGACGTATGGGTCTCACAGAAGTGGTGCTAACAGAACATGTTACAACTGAACACCCAGATTCTACTACTGAAGTTGTTAGTATATTTCTTAAAACATAATAAAGTTGGTTTAAATGAAGTGTAAAAATGACACTACACTCAGGTCAGATTTAAAATAATTTTTTTTGTGTACTAATTTAATAGATAAAATAATAATTTCAGTGGCATTCGCAGGGGATCCC